GCGCCCCTGGGGACCTCGTGGGTCCGATCCGGGGTCCCCCAGGGGCTGCATCGCACCCCAACGGGGAGACAGAGGCCGGAGGAGCCCGCACCGCCTCCGGAGCGGCGCTCCCCGCGGGCGCGGCCGGGGCGGGGGTCCCGGGGCCGGGGCGCGGGCGGAGCGGGGCTGGGCGCGGCCACTCGCCGGGCCCCCTGTCCTCTCCCGGCGGCCGCAGGCCCACGCCCAGCCCCGGCCCCGCGGCGGCTCGCGGCCTTGCTTCCCGGGTTGGGCTCGGCCTCTGCTCAGCTGGGCTCGGCCCGCGGCGGGAGGAGGAGGAAGGAGGGAGGGAGGGAGCGGGCTGGCGGCGGGCGGAAGGGGGAGGAGAGGACGGGCCGAGCCAGTCCGGAGGGGCCCGGAGCGCGGAGAGCAGAGACGGAGCAGCGGCTCCCGGCCCCCAGCCCCGCGCCGCCGCCGCCGAGTGAGTGGGGACCCGGGCCGGGCTCCGGGGCGCCGCGCGCGGGGGGGGGCCGCGGCCCGGGGGGAAGTTGGCGGACCCGGAGCCGCCCCGGCGCCGCTCGCGGGGAGGCCCGGCGGGCGGAGCGGGCCGCGGGGAGAGGGGCCTCCGCCGGCGGGGCGCGGGCCGGGGCCTCCGCGGGGCGCGCGCGGGCGGGGGCCGGGGCCGCCGGAGGGCAGGCGGCCGGGCGCCTCCGCGTCTCCGGGACGCGCCGCCCGAGCGCGGAGAGGCCTCCGGGCAACAGGTAGGGCGGGAGGTGGGGCCCCGGGCGCGGCGCCCTTGGCGGGGCTGAGCGGCCCGGGTGCCTCGGTGCGGGGAGCCCCGCCGGCAGGGCCCCGCGGCGGCCGGAGGGCGGGCAGGGTCCCGCCGCCTCTCCTTCCCGGCGCCCGGGGCCGCTCGGGAGGGAGGGCGGTCGGAGCGCCCATGTGCTTAACGGGAAGCGGGAAGGAGTGGCTCCGGGAGTCCGCCCGGCCCCCCAAGGGCAAGGCTCCCAGACCGTTATGGGGTGTGTGTGGCAGGGGTGGAGGGGGAGCCGCCGGGGAAACTGGTTTTCTGGACCACATCTTGCTAATGCCTGGCCCGGAGGTGCTCTGGCAAGTAGGTTAATTACAGGTGTGTGGCACGAACTTTTGGCCTGAGTTTTTATTTTTTTTGGGGGGGGAGGGGGGGTGTTTCTTTCTGCCCCCAAGCCTGCTCCTGGCATCCACACCTGGTCTCAGCCACCTGCGTCGCCAGGCCCCTGGCTGGGGGTCCTGAGAGCCCTGGGGAGTGGAAGGAGCCCCTCTCCCCAGAGAATCAAACCAGGGGCGGCCTCCAGCAGGCCGTCCTCCCACCTCTGTGTTGGAGGGGTTGCCATCCCACACCACCGTCCAGGGAATCCGGCCTGAATTTGGGGGGCTGACTGCCCTTGGGATGGGGCACCTAGGGCTGAGGACTTGTCTACAGAGACATCCTTCAGCACCGGGTCCCCATCATCCAGTGCCCCCGTTCTGAAGAGAGTCTCCTGTCTCCCTCGGTACCCCACAACCCGCTCCCTGCACTGGGGCCTGCCAGTCTCCGGTCAGGCCGGCTCCTTTACTGTGCCCTTCAGCACTGCCTGCCGCTTATCTGCCTCTCCCTGCCCCTCGGGGCTGCAGCCTCAGGCATCGGGGATTGGGGGTGTTGGGGCTTCTGGTGGGAGGGTCAGAGAAGCCAGATTTGGGGTCTGTCCTGCAGCCTGGATGGTGGCACCTTTTCCCCCATTGCTCACGGCCTCCTGGTTCACCACCGGAGAGGTTTCCAACCAGGAAGACTACCGGGCCCTCTTCCACTTCTTGTTGGCTGTTCCTCACGTTTCCGTGGAAGCCGGGAGCCCTGGCATCTTCTCTTGACACTCTTCTCCTTTGCCGACCCGGTGATGTTTTCCTCTGTGTTTCCTCCAAGCCCCGAGAGCCTTCACTGGGGCTGCGTTCACTTCGGGTCTGTGGGCTGACTTCCTCGCAGACTCCATCGCCCGTCCGCCCTCCCCGCACTCCGGGGGTACCAGTCCCGTGGGGACTCTCTGCCCCTTTCGGCCATCGGTGCAGGCCTGGGAGGAGGCAGGCAGAGTTGGGGCGAAGGGTGGGGACTGGGCTGAGCCGAGCTCAAGTTCCTGGTAACCCAATGCCCATGAAATCCCTGCTTTGCTGGCTCCTCGCCAGTCTGTGCCTCAGAAAGTGGCATCTGTGTCTCTGAGGCAGGTGTGTGTGTGTGTGTGTGTGTGTGTCAGACAGACACCCCCCCCCCCCACACACACACTATTGTCTCTTCCTGCTTTGGGGTGAGTTCTATGAGTGGAAAAGTATCAGTAGGTGTGATTTTTCTCCACCAGACAAGGAGCTGCCCTGAGGGCCAAGAGGGCCTGGAAAAGCAGGTCGGCTCCCTGTCCTCCGGGCACACACCCCGGTTTCTCACCCCAGCCCTTTGTTTATGGGATCCCTTGCCTGGCGTGGTGTGCTGGTGCCAAGAAGCCTGCAGGGCTGCCACCCGGGTCAGGAGCAGACCTGGTGGTTCTGTGGGATGTGTGAGCAAGGCCGGCTGGGTGCCCCTGTTGTCTGCCCCCCCTCCCCCCAATCCCCATGTGGAGCTAGAAGTCCAGACCCTGCCTGCAGAGTCTGCTGTCTCTCTCTGTTGGGCAAGGTGTGTGTATGTGCTGGGGGAGGAGGGATGGGATAGTGCTCCTTGGCTAATGGAAGGACTGGCAGCAGGGAAGGCTGTGGTCACAGAAAGCCTGGCACCCAGGTGTGGGAGAGCCCCCATTAACCCTTGTCTCCGACGGCCTGATGCATCCTGCTCTCCTCCTCGCCGCTCACCCGCCTTCCTGCCGGAGCTGGAGGGAGCGCGGTGTGTTTGGTCCTGGGCTGAGGGGGTGGCATTGTCTGGGCACTTGTCTTTGATCGATGTCTGGCACAGTCCTTGCCTACCCACCTCCCCAGCGCCCCACTTGCTCTGTAGGGATAAGACTGGCAGCAGGTGTTCCTGGGGCACAGGAATCGGAGAGGTGCTCCCCCTCCCTGCAGGATCCCTCTGAATCTTGAATCCTCAAAAGGTTCCTGCCAAGAGAAACTTCCCTGCCGGCTTCCACGGACCAGGGTGGGGATGGGGCCTGTTTCTCCCCGTGGCTATCGATCTCACTGGAGAGCAAGTTGGATCTCAAGAGACACATCAGTCAAGGGACTGGGTCAATAAACTTCCTCACCTCCCGTCAGGCTAAGCAAAGGGGGGCGAGGGGAGGCGGAGCCAGGGGTGCCACCACATCTTGGCATTGTCTTAATCCTTCTCTACTATATTTTCTACCACTTTTCTTCGGGAAAAAAGTGTGTGTGCGAGGTTGTGTGGGAAATGCTCCATTGTGGATAACTATGTTTAATTTTGTTCACTTGAGGGCTTCCATCTCTAATTCAATATTTATTCTGACGAAGGTAGAGAAGGAAGGGGCTGTGCCCTCGTGAGCGGACGCCTGGAACGTGTGTGTGTGTGTGTGTGTGTGTGTGTGTGTGTGTACATACGTACATGCGAGCACGGATGGACGTAGGCACCCATGGTGCCTATGGGCAAGGAGGAGCTGAAGCTCCTTTGTCAGTGCTGACCTCTGATTTCATCTGAGAGTGAGCTGGAGTGGGGACAAGAGGGTAAAGTCCTGGAGCTGGAATACCGACCCGTGACAGGCCGCGAGGGATTTCGCAAGTGCCTCTGTGGTGGGTGGGGGTGGAACAGGCCGAGGAGCGGCAGGAGGACCAGCCCGCTCCCTCTGCTCCGCTGTGACCTGTCTGATCAGCCTCCTGCCCGGCCTCCGCTGGTCTCCAGCTCACAGGGGAGAACAGTCCACTCCCTCTCCTTCCTCCCGGTGCGCGTGTGGGTGGCGGGGACACGGGCCCCCCTTCCTTCTGCGTCCGCTTGTAGTGCCACGGCCAGCCTGAACGGCACCACCTCTCCCCGCTCCTGGGGGACCAAGGGCAGGGAGTCTGGAAAGTATTGCTCTTGCCATCCTGCCGGCATTCCCTGCTCAGGCCCAGGACCACCAGGTGTACTGGTTCCAGCATCACTGACTCTTCAGGGCCATCTTGCTGCTTCTCTCACCGCCAAGCAGCCGCTGGCCCCTCCTGGGCCACAGACCATTCCCTTCCTCGTTCAGTGTCCAGGGGCCCTGCCTCTCTCTCTCAGTGGCGGGAAGGGGGAGGGGGGAGGCAGCAGCTCTCTCCTGAGCTGAGGGCGCGGTGCTGGTCGTTCCTTGCAGGCTAGTGTTTTATCTCCTGGGTACGCCTTAATAAGCCTTACTAAGCAATAGCTTCGCTTCCACCAGGTCTCTCGATCCTCTGGCCTCTGCAGCTTTGCCTTCACTTTGTTTCTGAAAAGACTTCTGATGGGATCGTTGTGCTTCACGTGTAGGCATTGGGAGGCTTGGCACGGTGTTCCTCTGTGTGCAATAGCCCACTGATTGTCTTCGTGCTCGGCCCGTTTGGGGACATAACTTTGCTTTATTCTGGCCTCTTAATCCCCCCGTGGGCTTAGGGAAAGGGAAGAGAAGGTTTGCCCCAACCTTGAAATCTTGTTTTGAAGTTACCCAGCAAGGAAGCATGCAGTTGTTTTGGGGGGTGAGGAACGGGTGGGACTGGACGTGGTGGCTGGAGAGTCAGGGAAGGGAGGGCCCTGACTTGACCCAGCTGGTTGGCTGTAACTTCTAGGACCAGATCCTGCCTGCCCTCCATGCTGGGATAGGAAACCTGACCTTCTTAATGCCAGGGAATCGGGACTTCTTGGGCGAGGGGAACCTTCCGTTGCTGTAAATGGTAAATGTCAGAGTTGGAAAGTTATCACAGATGAGGAAACTGATCTGTCCAAGGCCACATGACCGGGACCTGAGCCCGGGGCCTGAGTCTCTGCCCCCTGCTCCTTTTGTTAAACCCTGAAAACGGTCATCGCTTCCCCCCTCTCCCCCCCGTGGCTGTCCCCTTTAACGCCCTCCCCGTCCCCCTCCTCCTCACTCAGGATGCTCCAGACCTTGTACGACTACTTCTGGTGGGAACGGCTGTGGCTGCCCGTGAACTTGACCTGGGCCGACCTAGAAGACCGCGATGGACGCGTCTACGCCAAAGCCTCAGACCTCTACGTCACGCTGCCCCTGGCTCTGCTCTTCCTCATCGTGCGCTACTTCTTTGAGCTGTGAGCACACCAGCCCACCCCGGCCTCCCCTGGCTGCCGGCCGCACTGTTGCTTGCACTTCAAGTTTGTCTCGCTGCTTCGTTGGTCCCGGACCCCGGTGTTCTGGCCGCCCAGGTCCCTGCCTACCGTGTGGCCCCCACTGAAGGCAGCATTGTCTTCCCGAGGGCTCAGCACCCGGGCCCTTTCTGTCAATGGCTGTTTGTTCTCACCCTCCGCCCGGCCTGGCCACTTGCGAACACAGGCAGCTTTGTCAGCTCTGAGCGGCCCTCGGAGGCCAGGGAGGGGATTGCCAGGAAACTGAGGCCCAGCATCAAGTTGTCTGGGCGTGCAGTCCTTTCCCCTCCCGGCGTAGGGGCTACCCAGACAGGGGGGTGCTTCTCACTCGTTTCCCTTCCCCAGTTACGTGGCCACACCGCTGGCCGCCCTCCTGAACGTGAAGGAGAAAACTCGGCTGCGGGCACCTCCTAACGCCACCCTGGAGCATTTCTACCTGACCGGCGGCAAGCACCCCAAGCAGGTGCGCTGCCGACCCGCTTTAGGAGCTGCCGGGCTCTAGTGGGGAGGGGAAGGGAGCGGACAGGAGTATCATTTCTGGTGGGTGCGTGGGTGGGTGAAGAGAGGGGGAAGCAGTGGTACAGACTCAATGCAAGGTGGGAGGGTGAGGGCACTGCCGAGTTCTGAAGTAGAACGTGATGGACGGGCTTCTTCCCTACACCCAGGCAGAGGTAGAGCTGTTGTCCCGGCAGAGTGGGCTCTCTGGCCGCCAGGTAGAGCGCTGGTTCCGCCGCCGCCGCAACCAGGACCGGCCCAGTCTCCTCAAGAAGTTCCGAGAAGCCAGGTGGGGGAGGTTGGAGAACAGCGGAGTCTGATGATCTTGCTGGGAGGGGTGGGGGGCGGCGGCTGTGTGCAGGGCAAGGTCTCCCTCGGGTGAGGTCATTGTGGCTCTTCAGGATATTCCCGAGGATCTCTGGGGTGCTCGGAGGGTAGTGCCCTTCTCCCACCCCACTGTGCCAGCTGTTTCCGCTTCCTCTTCCAGCTGGAGGTTCACGTTTTACCTGATTGCCTTCATTGCCGGCATGGCTGTCATTGTGGATGTGAGTGGGGATTGCTAGGTGGGAGCAGGGTCTTTGGCAAGGTGGGGGGTGTGGGACACGGAACTTGGGTCCCTCCTCTTTTAACTCGTCATCATCTCTCTGCAGAAACCCTGGTTCTATGACATGAAGCAAGTTTGGGAGGGATATCCCATACAGGTATGAGATGGGTTCTGACTTCCTTACGTCGGGTGATGAGGAGAAACAGTGTGGCACAGGACTAGGATGCTTAGAGATGGTCTCTAGAACACGTGCCAGAAGGCACTGGAGTTATGGTGCTAAACTCAATCTTGGCTGCTAGCAGGGCTGGTGTTGAGAGGGCGAGACCTGGGTCAGTCACTCTGGGCCCTTATCTAATCTCTCCTTCTCTCCCGTCTCCCAGAGCACCATCCCTTCCCAGTACTGGTACTATATGATCGAGCTTTCTTTCTACTGGTCCCTGCTCTTCAGCATCGCTTCTGACGTCAAGCGGAAGGTGGGTGAAGGGCTGTGCCGTTAAGATTAGAAGCCAGCGTGAAGCTGTAATGAATAGCCTCGACTTGGGTTTCTGGGTACCCCGGATGGAGCTGTGGGACATGGGGAACTAAAGTGAGGGGGAGAAGAAGGAACAGTGGGGGCTGGGGAACAGAATAAGGTCCCCTGCAGCCTACGTCTTTCCTGCAGGACTTCAAGGAGCAGATCATCCACCACGTGGCCACCATCATCCTCATCAGCTTCTCCTGGTTCGCCAACTATATCCGAGCGGGCACTCTCATCATGGCTCTGCACGACTCCTCCGACTACCTGCTAGAGGTCAGGCTTTCTGGATATTTCTTCAAACCCAGAGACCCTGGTGCAGGTTCCCTGTCCCTCTATCTCCTTTTGGGGTTGGTGTGACATTCCTGGGACCAAGGAGGTGGGGGCAGGAGCATGCGTGGTAACGGATGCATGTGTGAATGTGTACGGGAGAGCCAGGAGCCTATGGTGACGGATGGGGCTGTCTGTGCAGTCAGCCAAGATGTTTAACTATGCTGGATGGAAAAACACCTGCAACAACATCTTCATCGTCTTTGCCATCGTCTTCATCATCACCCGACTGGTCATCCTACCCTTCTGGTGAGCAGAGGCCAGACTATTCTCCTGTTCTTATGAAATTAGGAGTGTTGCCCACTTACCTCCATCGTAGACTCTTCCTTTCTGTGTTGACAATTTTCTCGCTTCCCGTTGCCAGGATCCTGCATTGCACTGTGGTGTACCCGCTGGAGCTCTATCCTGCCTTCTTTGGCTATTACTTCTTCAATTCCATGATGGGAGTGTTACAGATGCTGCATATCTTCTGGGCCTACCTCATTTTGCGCATGGCCCACAAGTTCATAACTGGAAAGGTGAAAGAAAGCCCTATCCCCATTTTGTAGGCCCTACTACTACCCTCAACTCTAAAAACTGCCCCAACTCCCTCCCGCCCCAGCAACCATCTAAAAACTGTGGGGCCCTGGGAACAGCTGGAACAAGCCCACACAGAGAGGCAGTGTTAGGGGTTCGAGGACATCAAATAACCCTTCCTATCCCTTTCCACAGCAGGTAGAAGATGAACGCAGTGACCGGGAAGAAACGGAGAGCTCAGAGGGAGAGGAGGCTACCGGCGGGGGAGGAGCAAAGAGCCGGGCCCTAGCCAATGGCCACCCCATCCTCAACAACAACCATCGTAAAAATGACTGAACCATTGTCCCTGCTGCCCCTCAGACTAATGTGTAAAGCCAAGGAACTCTCCCCACCTCCCCACGGGGTCACTGTAAGCTCTGGAGAGAAAGGAGAAAGCCAGAAGAGAGTTCTCTGTGCCCCTCACCCTCTGCTTGTCACCCAGTTGCCTTTAAACCAAATCCTAACCCACCTATCCCCACGTCTCTCCCTGGGGAGACCGGTTACAGACTTTGTTAGAGGGGGGCAGGCTACTCCAGGTTATCCTTTCTATTGCTTTCGAGACCCTTCCTCAGCCCAGGGGGTGGGGATTACAAACTCACATTCCTTAACCTTCAGAATTTGGCCCTAGCTGTTTGCCTTTGACTCCCTGACCTCCAGAGCCAGGGTCGTGCCTTACTGTCCCATCTGTGGGCCTCATTCTGCCAAAGCTGGACCAAGGCTCACCTGTCTAAGCTCCCGAACTTGGACCAGAAACCAAAGCTGAGCTGACTTTAACTTTTTCTTTCCGAAGATGCAAATGAACTAAGTGTAGGAGGGTACACATGACCCTTACCCTACCTCTGCCAAAAAGTGGGGGCCATACTGGGGACTGCTCAGACAGTCTTTGTGTTACTTCTCTCTGCCAGCTGTCCCTGTAGCCACAGGTCCAAGGTCTTACTGCCTCCTTTCTCTGGCCTCTTCCCCTAGGCTAGTTGGTTTGGAATAGAATGGCAACTAGTTTTTTTTTTTTTTTTTGTTTTGTTTTTTAATTTATTAAACATTTGGGGTTTCGGTTTTAAAGCCAGAATTACAACTAGCACCTGGCATTTTTAGCAATGGGACCACTTCAGACCAAAATGTACTGTTATTTTTTTTTTTTTTTAAATAAAATATATTGAAGATTAAATAAAACATGGCAACAAGAGTCTGAGATATTAGGAACTGAGAAGGGGATCAATGAAATAAACTAAGGTAGTCTTTCTCATGCTTTCCTCACAGTTACATAATTTTTTAAAATTTCACATGGCAAATAAGAAAAAGCAACAATAGAGGAGGGTAGGGAAGGATGGGGGAAAACAGATCCCTCATTGAGAGACCCAGAATTGGGAGTACGGAGGCGGAGAGAAAATCCAATCACAACCTTAGTTTTAACATCTTATTAAAAGACTCAGGAAATGATGCAAACCATGGACATCAATACACAGCCTCATACAGGAATAAAGTGTCACAAGCACAAACATTTGAACTAATGCAGGATGGGAGGGATGTCAGGCCCAGGGTAAGAGTGGTAACCTCTCCTAGCCCCCAGGCCTGAGGGGGTGGAGGAAGGACCCAGCCTGCTAGCACCACAATGGAAGGGATGTCCTGATCCAGAATAACTAGGAGATGGAGGGAGTAACCAGACTGGATGGAGACTTGGGGGGGAGGGAGGGGAAGAGAAGGAGTCAAGAGTTTAACAGGGAGGGAGACCCAGTTCCCTTCAGTCCGGGAAGGGTTCAGAAGCTTAGGAAGAAGGCTACCCTCTAAAGAAGACGCCCTCTGCACTCGATGGCCCCACAGCAGCAAAGCAGCTCCTTGCCTTCCACACTGCCCACCTCGTAGTTGTAGTCCCAAGTAAGTTCGGTCCCAGCCCGGATTCTCCTGCAAAGAAAAGGATGGGGTGAGAAGACCGCAGATCACCCAGGTGCCTGGGGTTGCAGCGTGTGCAGGTGAAGGTGGATCACAGATGGAGGAGGGGCCCTTAGAATTTCAACGGTCCTTGCCCCTTCCAAATCTTGGGCTGCTTTTCCTCCAACCACCCTCTTCTCTGACTCCCTCTTACTTGCTGGCAAAGAAGGCCACCCAAGGGAAGCGAAGATCATGAGTGTCCACGAAGACATTCTGGACAAACAGGTTGGGGCTGCAACTGTGCTGTAGGTTTAATGACAGGATCAGTAAGAACAAAGACACAGAATCTGGCGTTGTGGAGTGAGAGTTGAGAGAAAACCTCCCCAGCAGAGCAGAAGTTTCAAAAACTCCCCTGAAGATCCTTTGAGACCAAGAATTTATAACAAGAAAAGGTAGATTTATATAGTTGTGTTAAGAGCACTAGAAATTTGCGGACCATGGGATAATCCAGCATCTACGCATGTGGGAAAGGGTCTTACATTAAGGTAGCGGCCCAGGTTGCCTTCGAGCTTGGCGTCGATGATGTAGCAAGACTCCTCACCATCATAGAACTGGCGTGTGTTCTTACGAACAGGTGCGCTGTCCCCCTTTTCCGCAGACGCCATGTTGGTTGATTTAATGGCAATCCCATGGGTTGATTTAAGAGCAAAGCCTCGGGTTGATTTTACTGCCACTTGGCGCTTCATTGGGCCTAGACAGGAAAGAGAACAGGTTCATATCCCCATCCCAACCCAAGATGGACAGTCTATCCCCATTTCATCCCACGCACTGCAGCTCAGGCATAACAATAAGCCGAGACTGAGGAAAAGATTCTAAACTGCGGTTTTTCAAGCAGGATTAGATCTGCTAGATAAAGGAGCCGAGGGAAGAGTAGGGGAATGGAGAGAAGACAGTAAGATATGTGAAGCGGTATTAACAGTTTAGCTGGGAGCCAGGAAGCCCTAAAGACATTTAACTTTTAGGATCTCAATTTTTTCTATAGTTTCTTAAAAAAAAAAAAAAAAAAAAAAAATCCTCTATCCCAGATGGCCAATAGATATATGAAATGCTTAAGGTCACTAATCATCAGCGAGATGCAAAAAAACCACAATGAGATATCACCTCACTTTTCAGAATGGCTATTATCAATAAATCAACAAATGTTGGTGAGAATGTGGAAAAATAGGAACTCCTATGCATTGTTAGTGGGAGTGCAAATTGATGCAGTGACTATGGAAAACAGTATGGAGGTTCTTCAAAGATTTAAAACTAGAACTATTTTATGACCCAGCAATTCTACTTTTGGAGATTTATCCGAAGAAACCCAAAACACTACTTTAAAAAGATATATGCTCCCGCCCTAGCTGGTTTGGCTTAGTGAAGAGTGTTGGTCTGTGGATTGAAGGGTCCGGGATTCAAACCCGGTCAGGGGCACATGCCTGGGTTGTGGGCTCAGTCCCCAGTAGGGTGTGTGCAGGAGGCAGCTAATCAGTGGTTCTTTCTCATCATTGATGTTTCTATCCCTTACTCCCTCTTCCTTCCTCTCCAAAATCGATAAAAATATATATTTAAAAAAATATATATATATATGCTCCCTATGTTCAATGAAGCATAATTTACAGTAGTCCAGATATGAAAGGAATCTAAGTGCCCATCAACAGACGACTGGATAGAGATGTGATACATATATACAATGGAATATTATTACTAGGTCATTAAAAGAATTAAATCTTACCACTTGCAACAACACGGACGGACCTAAAGGTATTACGCTAAATGGAACAAGTCAGACAAAGACAAGTACCATACGATTTCATTTCACTTATGTGGAATCTAAAGAACCAAATAAACAAACCAGCAAAAATGCCTCTATCTCAACTTTCCTATGGTTCCTTCCAACTACCCCCCAAATGCTTCAGACTACCAGACATGTTCTTCTTGTCCTCAAAGTCATCGCCATCAGAGCCAGAGGAGATGGTCTGGACATCATCACTGTCCACTGCTGTGGCTGAAGTGTGACCAACAGTGGGCTTTCGGCTCGTCCCACTTTCCCCCTCACTTTCTGTGCTGCTGGACAGTGTCAAGACATCCTGGGGAGGCAGAGAGTGAAAGGGAAGAGGGTAAATGGGGAGGGCCCCTTCAAGTTCTGCCTCTTACCTAAGGGTAGGCAGAAAGGAGCTGAGATGACAGAGGAAGGTTACATGTTGGATGAAGGAAAATAAGGCAGGAAGTCAAGGCCAAAGCAGCGAGAAAGATCTAACAGTAATTATGGTGAAGGACTTGATCAGCTGAGAAGGATGTTCCTTCACTCAGACTCTGAATAAAACGAAGGGCGGGGTGAGGTACAGTTTGAGAAAGGTCACTTACATCAGGGTGGGACTGAGTGGAGGCCAAGAGGCGTCGGCTCTGATGCATAGTAGTCTTACTAGGTGGGCGGCGAAGTCCTTCAGTCTTCACGGGAGAAGGATTGTAACCGTAATTCCGAGAGCTCTCAGTAACTCTGACGGGAGGTGGGTGGGGGGAAAGGGAAGGGAAGAGATTGGATAAGTCAGGTTTGTGGCTTTTTCTTTTGAAGGCTTGAGAGAAGGAAGATTTGGAAACAGGTCTAAAAGAGGCACTTACATTGATCCCTTGTTTCGGTCATCAGGTTCCTGGAAAAGACAGCCGGTGAAGGGTTAAATGTTTTTTATGGCCCTAGGTAATAAGTCCAACATTTAGAATTCATCTCAAATGACCTGAGACATTAGCCAGTGAGAAGTACACTCTCTAAAATAAGGCGTGGAGAAATGACTGCAACTTGACAGGAGAAACCATATTCTCATATTCAATGCTTTCTCATAAGGCATAAAATGTTCATAGAAAACACTATGTCTAGGTACGCCTTAAGGCAGTCCTTAGGACAAGGGACAAGTTCACTATCTGTAATGTGGTAAACTGAAGCATCGTGAAAAATATATTTTAGATTCTTATTTCTCTAAGAGAAGCAAGCAATGACACAGATAACCTGAAGTAGCACTTAATTTTTAAACATTACTTATAAATCCTTTACTTTGGAATGAATCAACCCAGCAGGTTGATTTTAAAATAATTTCTTTCTTTAAATGAACACCAGGACTGTGCCGGGTGCAGAGATAACCATCAAGTAAATAATCTACGCGTGAAGACTGCTTTAAGTTTTTCACTGTACCAAAGTTACACAAGACCACTGCTGGCAGTTTACCTCTTTCTTGGCCTGCTTGCCGTCTCCCTCGTCTTTGAAGCTCAGCCCTGAGGTGGTGGCCTTCTCAGCTTCCCCTTTCACTCCGCCGGCCTTGCCTTCCCCACCTTCGGTCTTGAAGGATGAACGGCTATCAGAGTCAGCAAAGCCACCTCCACTGACACTATTGGAGCTC